AGTTGCCCAGGCGGGTAATCGAACCCGCGGGCTCAGGCAATCCACTCACCTCAGCCTCCCAAAGGCGTGGGATTATAGGCTGAGCCCGGCTTAGTTCTGATTTTTTTAAAACTGATTTTTTTAAAAACTCAACAAATGAGGAATAAAATAGAACTTCCTAAATTCAATAACAGGCATCTACAATAAACATACAGCTAACATCATAGTTAATGGTTGTATTAGTTTTCTAGGACTATCATAACACAATACTATAGACTGGGTGACTTAAACAACCGACATTAATTTTCTCACCATTCTGGAGGCTGGATGTCCAAGATCAAGATGTCAGCAGTGTTATTTTCATACAGAGGCTTCTGTCTTTGGCTTGCAAATTGTTGTCTTCTCTCTCTGTCATCACATGGTCTTTATACTCACACATATCTGGGTCCAATTTCTTCTTCTTTTCTTTATTTCAATAGCTTTAGGGAGTACAAGTAATCTCTGGTTACATGGTTGCATTGTATAGCAGTTAGAAGTCTGGGCTTTAAGAGTACCCACCGGCAACCCCCTTGGGTCCCACCACCCCCACCTGTGTGCACTGTACCTGAAAGGTGATTGTTTTCATCCCTCTACCCCTTCTCACCCTCCCCCTTCTGAGTCTCCAGTGACCATTATACCATTCTCTATGCCTTTGCAGATCCCTAGTTTAGCTTCCACTTATAAATTAGAACATGTGATATTCGGTTTTCTGTTCCTGAGTTAGTTCGCTTGGGATGATGTTCTCCAATTCTTGGGATGATGTTCTCCAATTCCATGCAAGTTGCTGCAAAGTATTATTTCATAACTTTTGATAGTATTCCATAGTGTGTGTGTGTGTGTGTGTGTGTGTGTGTGTGTGTGTGTGTGTGTGTATATGTATCACATTTTCATTTTCCACTAGTCAGTTGGTGGGTATTTAGGTTGATTCCACATTTTTATAATTGTGAATTGTGCTTTGATGATATGCAGGTGCAGGTGTCTTTTTTATAGAACGACTTCTGTTCCTTTGGGTAGATTCCTTTTAAAAACTTTAACAAAGACATTTGAATTTCGTATCTTTCCTTAAATGTTTTTTTCAGTTAAAAATCATTATTATATTACTTTCACTTTCTTTGTAGAAATGTTCTTTACTGTGTAAAAAACTGTGGGCTCTGGCTGACACATTTTCAGTGGGACTTGTTCTAGAAAATGACATATGATGCTATCATTTGACGCAGTCGGTGGCAGGCCCTGGGGTCTCCGGGTGGTAAGGGGCAGGCCTGGGCTTAAGGTTCAGTAGGTGAGACCAAGATGGAGAAATTGAGGCCTGGAGAAGGTAAGAAGCAAACCCAGGGAATGTGGCAGGGCACTAAGTTGGCAGGAGTGGAAATACCAAGGCTGTCCTTCCAGGGTGTGCAATTGGAGCCAAGTGAGTGACCACAAAACGCTGAACATAAGCCCCGAGGCTTTGCCACTTGCTGGCACCAAGATCTCTGGAGTGTTGAGCTGAGGCTGGACTGGAGCCAGACGTTCTGGGTCTGTAATCACAAGCTGCCTGCCTTCGTTTCTCCATCTGTAAAAGGGGGACATAGGAAATTCTGACACACGCCAAAACATGGGTGCACCTTGAAGACATTATGCTAAGTGAAATGAGTCAGTCACAAAAGGACCGGAACTGGCGCCCCTCTGCACGAGCCCCCGGGGCGACAGTCCCTCAGCACCACCTCTGATCCTGCTGGAGCCCGAAGCGGGCCCACCCCTCGGACACGCCTCCCACCACCAGCAATTGGACCAAAGTGCCCAGGCGCCGCGCGCAATGGGGCGGGCCTCGCGGGGCGTGGCCCGAGACCAGTCCTGGAGCAACAGTTTGCGTTTTCCCGTCGCTCGCGAGTCTGGTCTGCCTGTACCCGCCATGGGCCTGGAGCTCTACCTGGACTTGTTGTCCCAGCCCTGCCGCGCTGTCTATATCTTCGCCAAGAAGAACGGCATCCCCTTCGAGCTGCGCCCTGTGGAGCTGATCAGAGGTGGGCCTGGCCTCAGGTTTGGGGGAACTGAGAGGTTCGGAGAGGCCCGGTGGCGGACATCTCTTAGG